GCTCAAGTTTAGACTGGCGAGTCGCTAGTCGGGGGGCCGAGCCGTGCGACTCGGGCAGAAATTGAACTTGTTGGCCGAGCAACTAAACCCAAGCTCAAGTTTGGACTGGCGAGTCATTGGTCAGGGGGCCGAGCTACGCGACTCGGGCAAAAACTAAACCTATTGGCCAAGCAACTAAACTCGGGCCCAGGTTTGGACTAGCGAGTCATTGGTCAGGGGGCCGAGCTGAGTGACTCAGGCAAAGACTGAACCTATTGGCCAAGCAACTGAACTCGGGTTCAGGTTTGAACTGGCGAGTTACTGGTTGGGGGGCCAAGCTACGTGACTCGGGCAAAGACTGAACATGTTAGCTGAGCAACTGAACTTGGGCTCAGGTTTGGACTGGCGCAAGCAGGCTTCTGGTGGGAAATTTCCTGTCACGAGTGGCATAGCCGAGGAGACTGGGGAATCCAGGAGTTATGGTGGGTTTGAATGTCGCGATCTTTTCCGTCAGGAGCAGGCCTCTGGCGGGACTTTCGAGACTGGGGAATCCGAAGATATCCGGGAGTTATGGAGGTTTTGAATGCTGCAATCATCTCTTTCCTCGGGGAGCCCAAACGTCAGCTTCTGGGTGGCGAGTTTCTTCTTTATAAACCCCTAACTGTGGAATGTGATGGCATTGCTCGATTGTTGTTTTCCCTGCTTTCACCTCGGCTAGCCACTCATTTTTTTGAGGTCGGGATATCTTCATCTTCTTCTCCCCCCCTCTTCGAGTCGATCGGTTTTCGAGATCAGCGGCTCAGTCTCCGGTAGTTCTAGGGTAGAGGTGATTAGTTCTTCGTTGGGCGGCTCGGACTCGGTCGATTCGAAGGCCTTTGTGGCCCTGCAAGTGATTAGGTCATGGCACGAGGTCAATTCGGTGGTGCCTGAGAACTTATTAGGTCCAATTCGGGATCACTATAGTATCCCTAAGGACTATGAACTTCATGCTCCACGCCCGGGTCAATGTCCTCATGACACATTTCCCAATGGATTTGGGCTGACCACGGATGCTCTAGAGGCAGGGCTACGTTTCCCGCTACATCCGGTCATCCAAGAATGCCTTCGCTGGTGGGGGATCTCTCTATCCCAAATGGTGTCGAATTCCTGGTGCAATATGGTGATTTTCCTTGATGAATGTCGAGGGGTAGGGATTGAATCGACCCGAACCCTCTTCTTGGCCTGCTTTCACTTGTGCAAGAGGCGGGGCAGGTATTACCTAACAGCCAAAAGTGGGTTTAGGATTAGTGGGGCACCCTCCAACAACAAGGGGTGGAAGGCCTGTCACTTCTTCGTGAGCTGCAGTCGAGGGTGGGAGTTTTGCGTCGGGTGGACCTCCCGGGCGATCAACAACGTTCCCCCTTTTCTTTCGCATGAAGAGACCGAGCATGTGGAGCGACTGAGAGAGATCCTGTCCTCCTCTCGGGCCATCAGGGGGATGACCGAGGAGTGGTTGGTTGAAGTGGGGCTAAGTCCAGCCACTAGGGGTACGATCAGATTCGTGCGCGGGTGTTCACTCTCTATCTTTCTTTTCCTGACACCTCACTAATCATGCCTTTGTCTCATAGAGATGGTGAACCTCCAGATTCTGAAGAGGATGCCACATACTGCGGCTGTGGCGCAGCCAACCCGAGATCGTGAAGGATTTGGCTCCGGGGTTCCTTCGAAAAAGGGAACGTCGACCCGTGGGTCGAAGTCGCCCAGGGATCCGGAGGTGGGTCGACCAAAGAAGAAGGCTAAGGTCGACATCCGGAAGGTTTTGGAGAGCATGGCGACCCACGGGATGGCAGCCCCAAGGATGGGTGAGTTGGGTGGCGGCCTCCAGGGCGAGGGCTTAGCGCGTGCATGGGAGAGGGGGCAGGCTGCCTCTCCTGGTGAAGGCCCCTTGTAGAGATCCGTAGTTTGCCCGAATTTGATGCAGGACTTGTGTTGCATCTGTGCTCGCTTCGAAGGGAAGCCTTTTTCAGGCCCTTGGTATGGCTGACCTCGCAGATGAGGAGTCGGGGGCTCCCTACAGTACCAGATGGCCAACTCTCAAGGCTGAGAGTAGGATCTGGTCCGATGGGTCGGCGCTCAAGAGTTCTCATGAGGGGTGTTGCATCCGACACTGGCGAAGCAGCTATAATGTTCACCCTCCATGGTATTGATGGATCGGGCGGCCAAGTCCCTCGTTTGGGTGAGCTCAGCGTTTTTCTGGCTACCGTCTGAAAATGGTCACTGACGCTGATCCTTATGCAGGGGTAGCACTATACCATGACCTTAATCGACCATGTTTACGATGTCGGTAGGGTGATTGAACACATGGGTGAGATGAACTCGAGCCTTCGCCGAGAGATCGAGGAGCTGAAGGGCGGGCCTGGTCCAGCGACCGTGGCGACGGCCGAGCAACGTGCCACGAATTTGGAGGCCGAAGTCAAATGACTAAAGGCCGAGCTGGTTGACTCTCAATACCAATTGAAGGAGAGTCGGGGGTGGGTTCGGGCTTTAGATGATGAGCTGCTAACCCTTTTGTGAAACATCCAAGCTACGCAGTCTACGAAGGCCGAGGTCCCCTTCGATGATAACTTAAGGGTCCCCCGAACTGAGGGGCATTTGCAAATCTTGCCTTTTTGTCTCTTGGTCCGATCGGGTTTTTGAATTGTAACACCTGGACCAAGTATAATTGACGTGCCTTTTGAATTATGGAAAGCATGTTTACGAGTTTGATGTACCGACGTGTCTATGGATATAATTTTTTGAGATTTGCGGTGTTCCACGTTCTTGGTAGAAGTTTTCCCTCCATGGTTTCAAGGTGGTAAGTTCCTTCTTGGACTAAGTCATAGACCCGGTAGGGGCCTTACCAGTTCGGCGCCAGCTTTCCTCTTGCTCGGGTTGGGTCACTCACTTCGATCTTTTGGAGGACGAGGTCTCTGGCCTTGATCGGTCGTGGGTGGAATCTGTGGTTGTAAAGTCGGGCTATGGCCTTTTTGTATACCAGGGTGCGTAAGTGCGTCTCGACCCTCCTTTCTTCGAGTAAGTCGAGCCCAACCCTGGGGCCTTCCTCAGAGTTGCCTTCTTCGAAGGTGTCAATACGCCAAGTTGGGAATACCATTTTGGGCAGGAGTACCCCATCGGTTCCGAATGCCAAGCTGAATGGGGATTCCCCCGAAGCAGTTTTGGGGGTCGTTCACAATGCCCATAGGATGCTAGGGAGTTTATCTACCCAGGATCCCTATGCTCCGGTCACCCTCCTTTTGAGGCCTTCCAGAATTGCTCGGTTCATGACTTCGGCATGCCCATTGGTTTGAGGGTGTGCGACTGAGCTGAATTTCAACTGTATCCCATAGGACTAACAGTAGGCTTTGAACTTGGCATTGTTAAATTAGGTTCCATTGTCGGTGATAATAGCCTTCGAGATCCTGAACCGGGTGATGATGTTCCTCCATGTGAAGCCTTGAACTTGTCTTTCCGTGATGGACGTCAGAGGTTTGGCTTTGACCCACTTTGTGAAGTAGTCAACACTGACTATGAGGAAGCGTCACTATACTGAGGCTGGAGGAAAGGGCCTGAGGAGGTCAAGGCCCCATTGGGTGAAGGGTCAAGCTACATCTATCGGGGTGAGAGGGATTGCTGACTGGTGTTGTAATCGGGCGTGCTTTTGGCATTGTTGGCACTACTGCACGTATGATTGGGTATCTCGGTGCATGGTCGACCAATAGTATCCCTGTCTGAGGATCTTGAAAGCCAATGTTCGGCCACCGATGTGCTCCCTACAGATTCCCTCATGGAGCTCGGTGAGAACTGTCTCGGCCTCAGGTGACACGAGGCAGCGTAG